ATTCTAGTCTTCATTTTTTATTCCCTTAACATACAAACTAACTCATACAAGCCAATTAACATAGCCAATTCTAGTCTTCATTTTTTATTCCCTTAACATACAAACTAACTCATACAAGCCAATTAACATAGCCAATTCTAGTCTTCATTTTTTATTCCCTTAACATACAAGCTAACTTTCTATGTGTGTGTATAAAGTGAAAGATAGATTAGTCCAATATTTCCTAAAAACTTGACACCATGTAGGCAAGGATGCCTCCTTCTTTCCAGCCTCATGATTGGTGGGTAGATTTGGTCAGAGACTTAGAACAGAGGCTGAGCTAACAATGATGAAGATGTATGCTAATGGAAGAAACTTGTTTTATTGACGTGGTGATATTAGAGGCCCGTCCTGAAACCAAGCAGAAATACACTCTTGATTTTGTGTTACCTCCTCCCATTCTTTAGCTGCAGACTGCTTTCCCTTACCATTTTCATCCAAGCTTCTCAAAAAGTCATTTTTCAATGATTCCTGACCTCCAAAATTTAGTTTCTTTTCTTGTCTGCCTTGTCCTATTCTGGAAACTGCTTCCACAAGAATCCTAGTGAACATTAATGACACCTTGATGTACACCTTTTCTTCCTTATCATACTTACTACGTTTGACACCGCTGATCCTTCATTCCTTCTTATTTAAGAAAATATTTGTGAACAGTTCTTTTCTTAAAATATAACAAATGCTCATTATAATTAGTGAAACAATGCAAAGACTTTCCAAATTGTATTTTTGGTTTTCTTTTTTAGTAATACAAATATTGAAGTTATTCATTTTTTCTTTTGAAACAAACATCCTTATCTGTTTTGCATGGATTTTTATAAGAAATGTCATTTTTTATGTTTCTATCTAAATAGCTTGTAGTTCTGGTTTATTTACTCTCCTTGGTCTAGGAATCATTTTTGGTTTGCTTTTTAGTCTAATATGGTTGATAAATTATTAAAGCATGTAATTTGTTAAATACATTTTGGGACTTATTAACATTTTCATTATAGTTAAATATTTGATTATTTCATATGTTTTTAATGAGAATTAGAAAATAATTTTCTATTTTCCTTGTTGGAGATAAAATTTTATTGAGTTTACTGATTAGATTACTCAAGTCCTGTGTGGTGATTATTTTTGTATTATTTAATTCTTCAAATTCTAAAAGTGTGTATTAAAATATTCACTATTATTGTTTTCATTTAAGCTTTTATTTTTCTCATATTTTTTTTTAAATCATTTTTTCTCCTCCATGATGAGGACAACATCAATGCATTTTGATTTTCTTCCTTACTTTCTGAGTAAAGATTTTCTGCTATAATGTGATATATGTGCATCTACCAGAACCTTGAAGTCTGTGAGTCATACTCTAAAAATAACAGAGTGTAAGGAAAGAATAGGGTTGGGACACTACTCGAAACTTATACAAGTTTGTAAGTAAACAACTAACAATATAATAGCAATCCTAATACAGATACTAGCATGCTTAAAACACACATCAAATCCCTAATAAAGAAATGCCACAATATAAATATAAAACCTTACTGTGGCTGTTGCTGTCTTTATTCATCCTTTACCATTGCCTTCCTTAATGATGTTTTGTCATTCTTTTTCCTCTTGAATTGACTACATAATTTATTTATTACAATGTTTTCTTATTGGATATGTTTAAGGTTATAAACTTTCTTCTGAATATGGTTTTGACAACATTATTTACAGGCCTTGATATGTAGTATGCTCATTTTTAAATTTCCTAAATATTATGTAAGTGATTCTTTTTTTTATTTATATATGAAATTTAGAGAAGTGTCTATTCATGTTTT